TTTTTTAGAATAAATGATTAAAAAGCATGAAATTTTTTTAGCTTTATAAGTAAAATATTTTATTACGAGAATGTGTTGTTAAAAATGAGTTTAAGAGAGAGAGAGAGAGAGAGAGAGAGAGAGCGAGCTTTATTTTTTAAGTTTGTCAGACAGGGACTTAGTTGTGGATCATATATAGATATAGGTGGATAGTAAATCGTGAATTTACGAAATACATAAATAAAATATATGATGGACCAACTTAAATTATAATTTAAGATTTAGCATTTGTTTGACACTCATTTTTTTCTCATTCTATTTCTCTTTCTCATTTCAACTACACATTCTATTAATAAAATAATATTACACATAAATTCAAAAATTCTTCTTACTTTTTAACCACACAATCTTCCATGAATCACTATTTCAAAAATTATTTTTCAAGCAAAATTGGTGTCAAACAGAGGCTTACTTACATTCAAAATTTATTCAATTTATCTCTAAAATATGTAAATTATTATTATTGAATCAATATCCAAGCAATCTTCACCTATGTTTGGGCTCCATTAAAAATAAATTTTGGGAAAAATGAATTTTTAAAATAGTGATTTAAAAAAATGTGATTAAAAAATAAAATAAAAAATTAGGTTTATTTTATTAAGGAATATATGATTGAAAATAAGGGGGGGAAATGCATTTTTAAAATAATTGAATCCAAACGAGGGCGAATCGTATCATGTGTGGACATGTTTGTAGCTTCTTCAATAATTAAGTACAAAAAAACCTCTTGTACAGTGTTTAGAGGACTGTAAAATTAGTGTGGGTTTAATTTGTGGGGCCCACACTAATTAAAGAGAGCTGTAAAATTTACAACTCTCTAAACATTGTACGTGTAGTGCAGTTAAATTAAGTAACCCAAATATTTATTTCAGCGAATTATCTTTAAACCCCAAAATTATCGCTTAAGAAGATTGGTCTATCCACGTGCTTTGACCAAGTCCAGTTGCCAGGTAACATAAGGGGAAAGTCAAACAAAGCATAAATTT